GAACACTATTCTTCTTCCATCGAGCTTTTTCTTCACATCAGTTGACTTCAGCACCAGTCAATTGCAGGCTTAAATTATTCCGATATATCATCAGTCCAGCTTGAAATCCATGACAGAGTGCTAATCTAAGGCATTTTTGTACGATCAGAAAAATGACGGGACAAAGATGAACCGGTTCTGAACCAAATGAAGACTGACTGTTTAAGAAACGCTCAAATGATGGAGAAAATGGCACCTGATTCGTGGATAAAACTGCTCTTAGGCAAGAATAGCTTGTGGTGAGGTGATCATGTTTACTATTCGAGCAAACAACACCCAGCTGTTGATCAACGAACTCCACCAACTGCAACAAGCCACAATGGTAGCAGAAATTATCGAAGTTCAACGACCATTTCAGAACCAAATCATTTCCTCGGATATTTCGAATGAAAGTTCTCTTCGAATTGTTAACCTATGCTTCCTTTCTGCTCACAACAATTCAGCTAATATATGCAAACACTGCACGTCACTAGTGATTAGATTCAGATTTTCAGCACAACAGTAATCCTGAGGCACACTAACTGGATTATGTTGACAATCAGTAAGTAGCTGTGGTGAGAGACAATCTTCGAGCGTGATTTCGAGAGTGTTGCAAATACCGATTACATCGTTGACCGAGTAATTGAACAACGGGAAAAGAACATCGCTGAGTGGTAACGATTGAGAATGAATCTCATTCCAACGTCTACATGAAATTATATCTTATTGTTAGCATTGACGAGTATTTGGCGATTAAATTGCAGTAATCTCGTAAATGGCACATAAACTGGGCACTGCATTTGAGAATGATTTCACAAATTCACGGAAGTATAATCACTCACTTGATAAGTGGAGAGTAACATTTAGCAAGAATAGTTTGCTTTTGTTCATCGCATTGACCTGTTGCGATCTGTGCTGAAAATTTGGAACGTTGAGTAGTTTGCCGTCTCGAACATTTCAAGATTCCATGAGCTAATTTGATTTGAGGGAATCAACTTGAGGAAGCATCTGCTAAATTTGAGAGGGAATGAAGCCATGTGGAGGAGAAGTTACCTGACGATTCAGGCTGCTCACGGATATGTTGTGGATCCTCACCGAAAGCGATTTCAACTC